GAAAGAGATGAACAGATAATGTCCCCGTTCTCCATTAGCAATGCCAAAATGTCTAAGTCAAAGAAGCTGCTTACAGGCGTAGCGGCAATAGAGGGCAGTCACACATCAGAGGGTTGTCGGCCAGGTTGATGACTTCCAGGGACGTGAGTTGGTGGAAGTCGGGCACCTCCTCCAACTTATTGCCTTCCAGAAACAGACTTCTTAACCCTGGACCCAAACCAACTAGGGAGTTCTCAGACATCTGCGGTTTGGAAAACATCATCAGAAAACATTTTTATGCACTTGGATAAGCTCTTTAGGGGAGAAGCTCACCTTCTCCAGCCCCATCTTATCCAGATACAGTTCCTTCAGAGATCCCTCCAGCGGTTTAAAAGCGTTCGGGCCCACCCAACGGATCAAATTACCGGACAACCTGAGGTCCTTGATGTTCCTTGCTTTGCTCAGTGCCTCGGTGGGCACCTCCTTCAGCTTGTTTCCCCCCAGGTGGAGCTTTTCTAGACCACTAGCCTGATCCAAAGCTCTGGGCGAAATGTTCCTAATGTTGTTTCCAGTGAGGTAAAGAGCTCTGAGACCCAAAACTCCAGTCAGAATACCAGCCTCCAACTTGGTGATGGCATTGTTCTCCAAGTGAAGTGCTAGCAGATTAGGCACCAATTTAAAGGCTCCTTTGGGGAAATCAGCAAAGCGGTTCTTCTCCAGGTGGAGGTAAGTCAGCTGTGGTAGACCTGTGGATTCAGAAGATTAACCAAGCTTGTAATTATTGAAAGAATAAACCTTATAGATTTTTTTTCCTCTTTAAAAGCACCTTTAAAGGCTTCAGGACTGAGGGACGTGAGGTCATTCTCGGACAGATAGAGATATATCAGTCCCTTCATACCACTGAAAGCCCCATCCTCCACATCCACAATCTTGCAGCTCTGCAAGTGTAGCGATATCACCTGGGCCACACCGGGGAAACTGTTGCTGGGAATGTAGTGGAAGTTATTGCCTCGCATGTCAAGAAGACGTGTCTCGGGAGAGAAACCTCGAGGCACTTTGGTGTGGCCGCGGTTCTCACATGAAGAGTGGTGTGTCTCCGCCTGCCAGAGGACACGACAAATTTGAAAAAGAATAAAACAAAGCAAAACTTGAAACCCTTCATTAATCCATCCAATCCCCTTAAGTAACCCAGTCACCTTGCAGACGCAGTTGGCAGGACATTTGATCTTGTTTTCTGGTTCTTGGGTGGGTGGTGGAGTTATTCTGGTTGCGTCCTCAAACTCTGCCTTCAGCATGGCTTCCTGGCTCTGGCAGCGCAGCTCTTTAGGGTAGACAGCCTCCAGGCTCTCCCCTGAAAGATGGGCCGGTCCTCCACACGTCCCCACCAGCTTCACTTTGCGAAAGATTGCCCACTCTCTGCAAGGTGGTAAAAAATAAAAAATAAACATCCCCGTGGTCGATAAAAACTAGTCAGTGAGTTTTGCTGCACCTGAGTGGACGCAAGTAGCAGTTGCAGTTGATGGGGTTCCCAGCCAGGCTGAGACGGGCCAGCTTGGGTGAGCCTTCAGAAAAGGGCTGAAGGACACGAAGCTGGTTATGGCTGATGTCCAGATGTACAAGGTTGGGAGATTTAGATACAGCGGTGTTGACCAGGTCCTGCAGGGACATGTGGTCGAGGAAGAGGTGTGTCAGCTTTGCCATGGACACGGCGTTCTCTCCCAGATACGTCATGGGGTTATAGCTAAGGTCCAGACGAGTCACCTCTGGCAGTCTGGACACAGTAAGGAAGAGATGTAGAGAAGAAGAGGGAAACATCAGGACTTAAACATGTATGTTACTGCAGTAGATCTGCTGTCTGGTATCTCCTTTGGAGAATTGTTTAAGTTCACTCCCCACTGAAACCAGAGGTCATTTTTCTGAGCATCCTTACCTTGTCATGGTTTCAGTTGGGAAAAACTGCAGCTCGTTGTGGTCTAGGCTGAGCCGGTTGAGCGTGAACAAGCCAGCAAACGCCTCAGTGTCCAGGTAATTCAGAGAATTGTGACTGAGACGAAGCCACTTGATGTTCTGCAAGCCCTTGAAGGATGAACATTTGCCTGTATCAACGATAATGACTACAGGAGGCGCATGTGCCATTTTCTGATTGGTTTCCCTTTTGGGAAATTTTTGTGACTGTGTACCTGGAAGGCCAGGTTGGGCATGTAGACCAGCTGGTTGTGAGTGATAGAGAGAAGGTTGAGGAAGCCCAGCTGAGAGAACGCTCCAGGCTGGATCTCTTCCACACGGTTACGGTCAATGAACAGCTGCTTCAGTGAGGAAAGGCCATCAAAAGACTCCTGGACTCAAAAGACATACACCATAGTTTTACCCACTTTGCCCTAAAAACATAAGTATTATTTTTAATCTGATCTGACTATTGATTAACTGGATTCATTTGAAGGGAACTGGATTTCTTTTGAAAGTGGATCTAAATTGGACTTGTCTAATCAATGGCATTTGTTGAAGAGTGGTGGTGAATTTATTGACATGAAGAATGGCAGCAACTCAAAAGGGAGAACTTGGGACAACGTAGGTTGTAGCTGTGACTGTCTGATCACCTGGTAGAGGATCTCTATGTTGTTGTTGGCCAGGTTAAGGAAGACCAGGCGGCCAAGGCCACGGAAAGCCCCCTCCTTAACTCTACGGATGTTACACCTCGGCAGCGAAAGGTGAGTCAGATAGGGAGTGTGTTTAAAAGCCCCCGAGGGAAGTTCTTGGATGTCATTGCCTCGGAGATCCAGCTTCACGGTTATCTAGAACAAAACACATCGCAGCTGTAGCCTTACAGTTCAGTCATAAACTGTAAGTGTAGAGATCTTGATGAGTGTGTGAGGAGAAACCTCATCAACAGTGGAAGGCACTTGGGTCAGGTTTTTGTTCACACAGGCCACTCTGAGCTGGATCTGGTCACAAATGCACTGCTGTGGACATTTTGCTGTGAGACTTGCAGGGATGCAATGGAGCAACAAGCTGAGCAACAGAGCCCAGAAAGGGTTCAGTAAGTCCAGAAGGGGCATCTGTAATGAAAGAGAATTTATAAGAGGATTACTTCAATATGCAGTTACAACTCACTTTTAAGCATAAAAAAGTTTGAAAACTGTGATCACACAAAAACTGAAATCTTTGGCCTAATTGAAAAAAGCAGCAAAGAGGAAAACTGACAAAGCACCGTAGTTAAAACACTCCGCCCAGAGTGAAACATGGTGGTTGAAGGACAGGGAACCTGATATGATGAATACAGAGCAGTTTAAGAAAAATTGAGGTGTTTTGTCATAAACTCTAGAGACCACAGGGGACTGTACTCTCATCATTCCTTGTCACTGTGTACACCACAGACGTCCAGCGCTTCTTGAAGAATGTTGGGTCCTTTAATGTTTGGAGTAAGATGGTGCAGCTCTTCTGTAAGTCTGTGGAGGAGAGTGTCATCTCCTCTGGTTTTGAAAAGCATGTTCCTTCCTTTTTGTGATTCTGTATTTGTTTATGTGGGTCTGACATAAAATCCCAATAAATGACACTGATGGATTGTTTTTAGTTTTCGTTGCCCTGTGATGGACTGGCGACCTCTCCAGGATGTACCCCACCTCTTGCCCATAAAGTCTCGCTGGAGATAGGCACCAGCACCCCTCCCGACCCCGCTGGGACAAGGGTGTAAGAAAACGGATGGATGGATTGTTTTTGGAACACAATGCCAGCAATTTTGAGCTGTACAAATACTTTTGCAAGTCTCTAATTTGAGAGATACAGAAGAGGATTAGAGCCACTGATACAAAAAAAGGAAAAGAGACTTTTTCCTCAAAAGTCAGATTTTAATCTGCAGAGATCAAGTCAGAATTCTGAGAAAGAAATATCGAATCTGAGGAAAAAACGTCAGATTTTTACAAAAGAGGCCCGAAAGAGTGAAGAATCATATGGAAAGTATTGAAAACCTTAAGAAGTCTAAGCTTTTAAATATGAAAATGCTACATAATCTCTACCTTTATGCCACTTGCCCCTGCTCTAGTCTCCACTGGAATGCCCTGAAGCCACATTCCCCTGTTGGATCAACAGCCTTGATCCACAGGAGCGGAGACCGAAAGCTTAACAGTTTCATGTTCAGAGATTTGGAGAACTAAAACATTAGCTAGTGCCTCACCCTTACACCAGCAGAACCATAAAGAAAAACCAAACAGCAAAAACATAAATGTAGAATTGTTTTTAATATCTAAAAACTTGGTTAGACAAAAAAAATATCCTGTTTAAAAGTAGGTTATTTGTCTAAATGAAGTAGTTAAATATGTTACGGCTTTGTCCCTTAAAGTAAAGGGAAAACACTGAGGGACTGAGAAACTAGAGACGGAGGAATGTGTGCTCGGACCCTTACTGGGGTCCAAACTGCAGAGCGGAAGCTGCGTACAAAGACGCAGTGTCTATTCCTGCAAATGTGCCAAGAATGTATTCCCTCTGTAAAAAAAAAGAAAAAAAAAAAAAGGAGTCCTTTCAGCTAGCAGGGTGTGAAAACTATTTTACACAGATTTTAGACATTCCCATGCATTAAAAGCCAGGAGGTAAATGTATCCATCACCGGTTCATCTTAACACATGCCAGCAAAGCTGGGACAAAAACAAATTGAAGAAAATAAAGCATACATCACTGGCCAATGAAGCACATCTTTTGCATAAATTGTTACAAAAAAAAAAAAAAGATTACAGAACGTTTTTAAATTCACACATGATTTTAATTAAGAATATTTTTGGTACGCTCACCTCTACTTCGCTGCAGCTCGCAAAGTCTCCTCTTCTCTTTACCCGGCTGTGCCTCATCCAAAACCAACTCTGCTTATCCGACCCCCTGACCACCTCCCACTCCAAGGTGAAGTCATTTCCACCCAACTGTTGCTTCCACGAACTACACCGCCTTCATAATTTAAACAAGTGCAACAAAAAATAAGCTTCTAGGATACTTTGGTAGCAGAAAAAGAATAACAGCAAACACACAGATTCCAGTTTGTTCAAATGCTCCATGTATTTATTATATTCAATATAAATGAACACTAGGTAAACAAAACTATCTAGACAGAAAAGTTTTTTTTCCATTTCTACAGCTTCTTGTTGTACAAAATTATATATAACATTATATTCTCTTCCCTTTTCACAGCAGAGATCCATCTAATCAACAGGCAGATACATCTATGAGGTAAGACAGGATGATCAAACATATGCAGCGGTAAGTGATAAGGAGATGTGATATGGTGTTTTTGGAAGGACAACATTGCACATTCATGCTGGTCACATGACCTATATGTTTAATGAACAGATTCAGATTCTGATTCAGCTGGACGTTTGAAGCAGCAGAATGTCGACTGGATTATAAGGACTGATATGCTGTTTTACATGGCAGATATGAAATAATGTTTACATTTTTTGTTTTTAATTTACAGTCAGAAAAGTGTTATTTTCTTTGGACATAAAGTAGCTTTCTTATTCTTTGCCTCTATAGATCTGGTGGTGGAGATGTTTTTTTGTCGTCGCAATTACGACGACAAAAATAGATATGATAAAAATGAGCTGCTTCGTTGATTATTGGCCAATTGCACCGTCAATGCCAGCTCCCAAATAAATGACAAATATCGGCCAACAAATTAGGCTTTCTCTAATCTTGACAAAACTTATTGGCAAAAGCATTTATACCCTTTGAGATACTTTATCTGAGGGCACCAAGAACATTTTGACAATGTGCCGTTTTCCTTTGGCGTCACGATTTATGCGCCACCTTATATTGGTCCATAAAATACGCTGTGGTTTGATTGCGAAGAGATGTGAATACTTTTGCAGAGCGGTGTACATTTAAGCAAAACAATGCAACCTGATTTTGACAAATTGAGGTTTTCTTGACATCCCTGATTCACACTTTGTGAGTTTTTTTTTTTTTTTTACATCAATAAAACATGTCTGCCACCTTGCAGTTAATTTATCGTCTTTCTAGCATTTGCTTGCCTACTTCACATCATATCGTCTACTTCAACTACCTATGCGTGGTTTGTGTTTTTAGTATTTGGACATTTTAATTATAAAAAATATATATATATGTCACAAGCAAAAAGTAGAAAAATAGAGATTAAGACATTGCATCTTGTAAAATATACAAATCAGGAGGCATAAATAGTGGCATTACTTATCCCTTTGTTCAAGTGGGAAGTATCCCTGTTGGTTACATATCCAGATAAATAAAGAACAGTGTGTGTTTATGTCCCAGTGTTGGTACTGGCTTTAATCAGTCAGTGGTACTTGTGGCTTTTCTTCTCCAGAGCAGAGCTCAGCCTGTCTCTGGCGCTGCTGCAGAACTTCAGAGCATCACCATTTCTGCACAGAGAAAAACAAAGTATGAGACTAAAGCCCCACTTCTCCAACGAGCAGATTCATTAAGATAAATGAGTCAGATTAGAGTTAGACTGTAAATAGAACTCCACCGATTTCTGCACGATTTCTCAGAGAGCAAATAGACTGAAATGCCTTCTTAGTTTAGCCAAAACAGGCTGGTGATGGTGGAAGATTACCTGGACAGCAGAGTGTGCAACACAGAGGCGTGGTCCTGAGTGAAATACTCTTGCTGGACAGCATGTTCCAAACACAGCAGCTGACCTTGGTCCAGTGGCACCTTCTTCACTTTGCCCTCTCCCTAAAACAAAAATTATATGGTATTAGAGATAGGCTAACATTTATTTTTTTAATTAGGAGAATAAAGTCACATTAGTAAAATTAACGAGGCAATATTACCAAAAGAAATTTCTTAAATGATGAGAAAAAAAGTTATTTTAATGAGATAAAAATCTGATGCGACTCTGTGGTTCCTTCTTTGAAATAAACTCATTCGTTTGCATGTTTTCCTGCTACTGATAATAATCTGATGGTTATATGTTAAAACATTACGAATTTCCTTATTTGTAAAACCGATACCAAAGCTCAAATTCACAAGATGCTCAACATTCCTCATTTTACTTTTAATTATTCTTCAAGGAGAAATAAAAAATAAATAAATAAAATACTGTTTTATTGTCCTTAAATACAACCTTATCCTAGTAACATGACTTTATTCTTGCATTATTACGACTATATTCTGGTAAAATTATAGCTTCATTACTACTTTACTCTGTTAAGATTACCACTTCGTTGTCACTGTATTATACAACTTTAATGTCACTGTTGCATCTTCCTTACTTGGTTAGGACTTTGTCATTTTATTATGATTTTCTCACTACTCAGTTTTTTGTTTTATTATTAGTATTTTTGTAATACTATAATTATAGCCAAAATGAAAAAAAAATGATCCTGGTTCTGATATGCTGTTGTATGAAAATGTCCATTTGATTTAAAAAGGAAAAAAAAAAAAAAAGCTACAAAATGGAATTTTTAAAATACAAAAAAGAACAATGACAAATTTTGGTTTTAATGGCTTAACAATTAGCATTTTTCTTTGGACAGTCAATTTACCGATTGGCGTCAGCGGTGCTTTTGTATAATGAGTTTTTTTTTGTTTTTTTTTTTTTTTTTTGCAATCCTTCAAAAATAAAAAATAAAAAATAAAATAAAAAAAATAAACTATAGGCTGCTGAGATGTACTGTACCTTCAGGACTCCGATCATGACCAGCAGGGTGGTGAGGAAGCAGTGTGACTGGAGGGCCGAAGCAGAGAGAACCTTCTTCAAAACACCATCTGTTAAAAAAAGTAATGATGTTACAAGCAAAATAGAAAAACCTGAAAAGAGCTTCACTCTGCAGTTAAAATCCCATTACTTCCAGTTAAACCAGATATTTCTAAATGCTTCATGAAAAAATATACCCTATTTATCCACATTGTCTAAACAGTAAAAAATAGAAAATTTAAAAGGGACCTGCCAAAGTGTGCATGTTGGTTGGAATCCAACGTTTTGATGCTAAAAAAATAGCAACAATGCAAAGGTGAGCTTAACTGGTGTCAATAGCATGTGGGGTATCGCCAGGATGTTGATTTCCATTGATTTACTCCATTCAATATGCTACAATTGGTCAAAAATGAGTTAAAATGCTTAGCTACATGCTAGCATTAGCTTAGGCTAATGCTAGCATGTAGAATGTCTAGCATGTTGACAATACTTGTAGGATGTGGGTTATCACTAGCATGTTGACTAACTTTAACTTACTCCACTCAGTATGCAAATATTAGCATACATGTTAAAATTAGCCAAAATGCTAAGGTTATCCTAGTCAGTAGCATGTGGAGCTATCACCAGCATGTTGACTTACATGCTGGTGATAGCATGTAAGTCTATACATATATCATATGATATATGATGTATATCATATTCAGTATGATATACATAGCTGTTAAATCATAAATTAGCTAAAATGCTTATTTTACTTATAAAGCTAATGTTAGCATGAGCGCTATCACTAGCATGATGAGCAACTAGGAAACTGGGCAAAAACTTCAGAAAGCTGTTGGGTGTAGCTTGTGTACACAAATGTTTGACCCAAATCATACATTTGGGTCAATATATTATTTAGCAAATAATGACACTTTAATGCAAAGTTGGCACTTTTAATGGACTTCCAAGGCAACTGCTAGAGCAACTTTGCATTAAAAGTGCAACTATTTACTGAATGACACTTCATGACAACAGTCATAAACATTCATAAAGACTACTTCATGTTCATCACAGGTGTCATGTCAGTCTTATGCACACCCCGTCAAATAAAGTGTTACCGAAAATATTTAATAAGGAATTTTGCTGATCAAAAATGAGCCGAAACAGGAAAAATTCAGTTTCGTGAAGATGTCTTTTCATATACGTTTCAGCTCCTGTATGAAACTTGTAGTGCACAAGTGGTTTTACCAATGACTTCAAAAACAACTGCGTTAGCCACAGTGTCCTGGCTGTGCAGGGAGCCAATCTTCAGAAAGAGCTCTGCAGCTTTGTTTGGTTCAGACACATTAACCTAGAGAAGTGAGAACATAGATGGACATTTAAAAACTGATTTTACCAACACATTATGCATATATAGAGGAAAACAGACTTGCCTCTTGCTGAAGGTTCATCTTCATATGAGACAACTTTTCTGCTGAGGGGTTACTGAGGAATGACAGGATTTCTGCCTGACGGTTTAGAAAAATAAATGTTTTTAAATCAATCTAATATTTGGACATATTGGTTATGCAGGTGACTTTCCATACTTGGCTCTCAGATTTTTCTGGGCTTTCTCCTCCGTTTTCTTTCACAATTTCTTCACACTCGCCAGTCTCATAACATTCATCACTCCCATCACTATCGCCGGCATCGCTGTCTTCATCTTCCTCATCGTCTGGCTCACCCTCATCCTCACTGCAGACGAATAGAGAAGACAGTGGTTCTATTTATTCCTCATTTAGTAAAACAAAAAAAACAATAGATGGATGGATTATCCTATCAGTTATTCTGATGACTAACAGAACTGGCAGTCTTCAGATTTTTCATTTAACTTTCCTGTTAAGCAAAAGGTACTTAACAGGAAATGTATTTTATTCATTTATGTTTTTTACAGAATTTTAACCAAGTGAAGCTAAATCTACTGCTGGGGAATATTACATAGTACAGATTTACAGTCATAGATTATTTTAATTCTAGATGCTAAATGTATATATTACTGTACTGTTTTGGATCAATTACTGCTGATTGTGTTGTTCTTTCACCAGTTGGCCTTTTAGAGTCTGTATCCTCCAGTTAACAATAAAACAATAATTTAATTAGTTAAAGATTAGTTACTTCAATAATTTATTCATCACAATTAATCTGATTCATCATGACATTTACTTTATGACATTTAATTCTACTATTCACATGCTCATGGATTTAAAACTACAGAAGTAAGTGTAACATCGTCTCCATGACGACCAAGTGTTGGACAGATGCCTTACCTGAGTGAGGCCAGCATCTCTCCTTTGTGCACATTGTCCAGAACTTCTCTCAGGACATCACAGCCGTCCTCACCCAGACAGTTACCTGTGAAAATGCAGTTTTAAACTTTATTCATATTAACCTGTCCGGTTCTTTATAATTTTAAAGCTTTATAGTCATAACTGTAAAGACATAAATAAGTTCTATCTAAAATGTCACCATGTGGCATAGCCACAGGTAGTGCAGTCCACTGGTGTGTACTCGTACCGTTCAGATTGACTTTCTCCATATGAGGTTTGTCCATGACAGCCTGAGCGACCACGAGAGCTGCCCCCGCTGTGATCTCGCCGAATGACAAGTTGAGTTCCTGAAGACACACAAGAGCGCCATGAAGCATCATGAAGGGTTCTGGCACAGAGGAGCCAGACGTTTCGCTCACCTTCAGGACCGGCAGTCCTTCTGTCAAAACTGCAGCGAGAGCGATGGCTCCTTCGGACCGGACCAGACAGTCGCCGAAGTTGATCACCTGGATGTTCCTGAGGTGCCTCAGAGCCTGCAGAGTCAACATGGTGGGTGTGGCTTAAACACATGGCGTACAAAATGGATTCCTCTGATGGGGAGGTTTTTTTTTGTTTTTTTTTAAAGGAGCATGTCTCACTTGGGCCATGGCCAGCGTTCCCCTCTTGGTGAAGGTGTTGTCGTTGAAGTTGAGGACTCGGAGCTCGGGGTTGTGACGGATGGCTGAAGCCAACGCCATCACACCGGCGTAGTTTATTCCATTCTGAGGCATGTGGATCTCCTCCAGGCTGCCCATCAGCTTAGATTATAAAATATATAATATAAAGATTAGAACAGTAAAATTAAACCTGTCGTCAGGCTAGTGTAGCAATATTTTAACTTAGTATATTCTATAATAACCAGACCTGTCACAATAAAAAATTTTGCTGAATGATAAATTGTGGTAAATGATAATCTTGTTATTTTGAGACCATTTTCAACAAATACAATTATAATGATAATAATAACGGCTTATTATTTGTTTTTGGAAGTATATCCACTCATAGGTAAAAAAAAACAAACAAAAAAAAAGAAACAACTTTCACTTCTAAACAACATTCAACACTGGAACTGGACAACATTTAAATATACAAAATAAAAAACTAAACAACAATAATTAAAATTGCATTTTAACTGGAAAGTATTTTAAATATCCAAAATAACTAAATAATACAACCGAAACAACAATAACTAAATTGGACTATGAAATCTTGTTAAACAAAATTGTATTTCAAAAAATAATAACCATTCCACTTAGACGGAGAAAATAGGCAGAAGTGGCAGGAAGTGCAACCTAACTACTTTGTGCTGAGTGTCAAACGTTTGCAGCGTTTTTCAAAATGGCAGCTTTTCTGCAATATTAAAGAGGAGTATCTCTTTACTGGCTGTTGTCCAAATGGAAATGATCACGTTCATTTTAATTAATTATGCCATGAACTGATTTATTGCTTATTGTGACATGCTTATAATTTATTTAAAATGTTAGTAACATGTAAGCATGTAAAACATGAATGTGACCATTATAAAGAAAGCTCAGTTAGTCTACCTGGAAGGCCTTGGCCAGGGCACTCGCCCCATCGTTCTCCAGACGGTTTCTCCCCGCAACAAACACTTTCAGCCTCAAAGCGGATCCGACGGCTGTTGATTTCTTGTGGCACTCAATAAGAGCTTCAGCCAGGATCTGTTGGTATAAAAATGAGAAAAGAAACCCTTTTAGTTTCTGTTCAGTTGTTGAAAGACGCTGTCGTTTGCGCGGACTCACCTTCCCCCCTCCTATTCCCATGCCACAGTTGTTGAGTCTCAGTTCCCTCAGCGTGTGGCAGGAAGGACTCTTCAGCAGCTGCTCGATGCCTTTGACGCCATCAGGCCCGAAGGCGTTATCGCTCAGGTCCAGCTCAGTCAGCCGGGCACCAGCGCTCATCAGTGCACCACTCAAACACATCTAATAAACGCACATTCGGATTATAAAATAAACGCAGGAGCATTAAATGATGGGGGGAGGAGGGGAGTAAAGAAAGGATGAAGTTTTTCTCACCAGAGCGGTGGGGATTTCAGAGCGGAGCCTTCCTGTGAACATGTCACTCCAGTAGCATCTCTAAAACACACAATGATTGACAAAATCAAAACAAGTCTGGGCCTAAATAGGAAGAAAGCGCCTCTTTGGGATAAAGAGTGAAACACATTATGAACAGGAAGGTAACAAAAAGTCAGCTGGACGAGTTTTGTTTGACAGGCCATGATCGCTTGGTCAAAAGCTAAACATCACTATCACTTCACACTGACACCAACATGCTTCTGTAAACAAGTTGCTATAAGTTGACTCTTGTCAGAGGAAAAAAAAAACATTTTTTTTTTTTTAAATATGACCATTTTACAGTGAGGTGTAAAAGCCTTTTGCGCTTTCAACATTAAAAATGCTAGGTAATTGTCACAGTTAAAGTAATAAATCTCTTTATAATCTTTTTAAAATTAGGGTCTTGGTGTTTGGCAAACCTACAGGCAAATCCAAATGAAATCCGTTGTGTATTTTCCTTTGATAGTGACAGCGATGCGTACCTGAAGCTGGTCTTTGCTTTCAAGAGCTTTCGCAATGGCTTTGGCAGCTTCCACTCCCACAGTGTTGCCCTCCAGGCGCAGGGCTCTCAGACCCGGGTACTGCTCTATCTTACCGAGCAGCTCCGCCACTGAAAACACAGACAGCAGCTCGTCAGATCAGAGGAGGTGAAACAGAAAAAAAGGTCACGTCTTCTTACCTGACTCTGAGTCGTCGAGCTTCAGTCCCAGACCTTTAAAGCTCAACTCTCCATCACCAACGTGAGTTTTTGAGAGAGCATCAGCCAGCTGAGCGATGTCATCTGAGGCCATGTTCTATACCTGCTGAAAAGTCGAACAGAAAGGACGGGAAGTGAAGTTCCAGCTATGTAAAACCGCGTCAGGTGATGCAAATATTTATCAGTTAGCCGATAGAGAAACCGGGCACCCAGAATAAGTCTAGAAGCTAGTTGTAATAGCTTTACCGGTGCTAACTACCGGTAAGTGCGCAACAATAATAATAAAAAAAAGCCATTTGGACACAACTTGCCGAAGTCGGTTTTTCTGTCTCAGCGTTAACGATAATATAAACTCTCGTTAGAACATCACCATTTATTAAACTCACCTTTTAAAGACTTATCAATTAAGGTGAATATAGAAACACGCGCTGCTTCCGCGCGGCGTGCCAGTTGCTAAACCTTCTGACGTCACGCTGCCCCAGTTCGATGTTTTCGTCAGCGTCGTTGACGAGCAGCTCATACAACAGGTACGTTTGCGCCATCTGCTGGCTCTTTTGTAAAACTGTTCCATGGTTTCCTTTCAGTCGCAGGTGCTTTCTCCTGCTTCTTCTTTGGGGTCTTAAGGGAACTTGGTCTTGAATTTGTTGCATTGTCACCATCTTCAGGATAAGACATTCATCACACTTCTACAACATATTTTCTAAAGTCTCATAATACGACCAATATCAATCAAGAAACGAAAAATCTTTTCTTTTCCTTCAACTTTGTTTAACTGAAATAATATATCCTTTAAACTTGATTTCCCTGTACTCTGGCTTAACCCTCCATATAAATCAGTTTAAACTGCCTGGAAAACCCTCATTTTTGAAACTTTGAGAGGTTTTGCTACCATCTTCTGGTAGCAACTGGATCTGGAAACTTGTTGCGATTTAACCAGTGACTGAAGCAGCTAGCCGCTAGCTACGTGAGGAAGCCAGTCCAATTCGTAGCTGAAGCAGAGAAACTGGCGTTGGTTCCACTCTCCAATGACACGGATACTCACCTTACAAAAATGCGCCTGGTTATTGACTGATATTCGGTTACCCCAGATTCCCCAACAATTGTCTCCAACGCATCGGGGAGCTAACCCTGATCTGAAAAGCGCAGTAACTTCTCGGTGAGTTGCCATGCTATGCTCTGCAAGGGCTTTGGCTAATTTAGCCAACTAACTTACTTGAACGTTAGTTAAATCCCGCGGGATAACTCTTCAGCTGTGTTAGATAATACACTAGTTACAGAGAGGCTGGTGTTGAACGCGATAACTAGCCTTTACTGCTTTATTCATTAAAGCTAAATCTGAGTTAGCCAAAATTAGCAATTAGCATTAGCTGGCTAACAACCCCCGCCAGGTAAACTCAGGTGGGGGTGCTTATGGTAACTGAATTAGCTACTTTCTCAATTCATATAGTTTATTTATAGTCAGTGTAAAATGTAAGTTAGCAGATAACACGCATGTGTGTGATGTGCTGACTTACATCAGCAAATGTTGCTAAAATGTTGTTTTCTTGCTGCCATTTAAAATCATCTGCCTTCAATTGTTGTATACATTTTTAATGAACTAGTAGTATACAAGTGGTGATTCATAAGGTTAATGGAGCTAAGCTAATTAACATCATCGTTAGTTGAAGACTGGTACTAGGATTGGTTAGCCTCTATCTATTTACAGGCCTTCCATCATCTCAGAATAAAAGTTGTTTCCAAATCACGTTTGTGTCAAAACTGAAAAGATTGTGCACATTTTGTGGAGTTTTCAGCCGTTTGGAGTCAGTTGTGTTTCTATCCTCAGATGATGGATCCGGAACGCCAGAGGCGAAGAGAAGAGATCCAGAGGGCAATGAGCTTTATCCAGTAGGAAGCATAAAACCGACCCAAAGTTTCACACCATAGCCAAACCACACGCTAAATGCACTGAAATCCTAATATGCTTTCACTTTCCCGTCCACCAGGTCGTCGTTGCCCTTTCCTGAACCAGAGAGTTACGAGGTCAGACTTGATCCTTGTCTGCAAATTGTTTATCTTTGTCTTTCTCTTCCACCTTGACCTATTTAATACCTATTGCACTTTTGTTCTTTACCTACTTTCCCGTTAGGCCTTCCTGATGCAGTTGGTGTGCAACTTGCTCGACGAGGGGAACTGCTGCTTCCGAGACGGCGACTGGCGTCAGGCGGCTCAGCAGTACGGGGAGGGGGTCAGCGTTGCCCGCTACGCGCAGGCCGAAGCCGTCATCATCCCGCATGAGCTGCTGGAGAGCCTCTACGTTAATCGAGCCGCCGCCTTCTACCAGATGGTGAAGCCGAATATGAACGGGCAGAGTGGATTATCTACAAAAATTTATTCTGAATGTGAAAACCTGATAGTCTATGCTCTTTTTTTCTTCTTTTTCTTTTTTTTTTTTTACCTTTTCAGAGGGAGTATGAGCGGGGCATTCAGGACTGTGAGAGCGCACTGTGTGTGTCGGAGGGCAGCCGCAGGGCTTTGTACCGAAAGGCGCTCTGCTTCAGGGAGCTGGGGCGGCTCAGAGAGGCTTACGAGAGTGGAACCAAATGTCTGCTGACAGCACCACATGTATGTATTTGATATTTTATTACGTTTTCCGGCAAATATATTCGGTAAGGGTGCATCGATAAATCTGCTCGGATTTCCTTAATTTTTTGAGATCAGTGATAGACCGATAGAGAATTGCCCCCTTTTTCTCTGCAGCCTAAGCACTGCTGATTTATTTCAAGACTTTGATCACAGTTCAAGAATATCCTAAGTTTGGTTTCACAGTTCAGGCAACTGATGCAGATGCACATGTAAAATCAATGATAGGGTGAAATATTCCCTGGAAAAAGACATAATTCAAATCTTAATGTGAGGTGCAGCACAAAGTATTCATCAAGGTTTTTTCCTTTTAATTTAATTTTATTTATTAGTAATAGAAGCCAAAAAATAGACCTGTCTGTCACAATAAAACATGTAATTTTCCTAGTAATTACTGTAATAAATGATTAAATTGTTGCTTTGAGACAATTTTCCAGTAATACGTTGATAATAGCAAGATAATACAAGTTTGTTCTCTCAAAGATCAATAAACTTCTTTTTTTTTTTAATTAAGAACACTTAACACTGGAACCGGGAGATATTCTTACTATCCAAAATAAAACACGACAACCAAAAACAACAAGTGGGAAATAGAAACCACACACAACAAAAAAACATAAATACAATAGGTTATGATGTCTCTGTAAACAAATTTGCCCTTCAAAGAAAAATCTCATTCGTCAGAATAGAAATGATCAAGCTAATTTTAATTTACCATGCGATTAATTGATTAATTTCTTATTGCGGCAGGCTTACCAGAAGCATCAAGTTGCTTTAGTTAAAATGTAAACATTTCATCAGTCAAGTTCGTTTGTATCACATCTTTTAACAACAAAGCAGTTTAAAGTATTTTACATCATGAAAACACAAAAATAAAAAGTCAAAGACGACATACAGGCACCAATTGAGAAACTGGTTTGATAATGATGTGTGCTGTTATCAAAATCATCAATGCATATCAATATGTTGGTCAGTGCTCCATTTCTTATGGTTCAACTCTAAACAGGTGTTTTTAGCATTGATTTAAAGGAACTCTATTTTTTTGTCTGCTCTGCAGTTTTCTGGAAGTTTGTTCCAGATTTGTGGCGCATAGAAGTTGAATAAGCTTTGGAAAATAAAAGCAAGAGTGAGCAAAATGCTGCTGTTGCTAAAACGACACAAAAGAAATCTAGAATAGATGATAAACCTGAGAATGTTGGGATATTGTCTGCAGAAATCTGACCACTTATTACTTCACAATATTGTGTGCTTTAGTTTGCTTAACAGGTAACAGGTTCATTATAATTTAAAAGAATTTGATTGTTTTTGGGCGCTTTGCCATAAAGTTTGAACATATCAGCTCTGTTACTTTCCTACTAGTAGAAAGCATCGACACCCGTTCTAAACGGTCTCTTTCTGCCTGCTGCTGCAGGACGTGCTGGTCATCGACCTGGCCCAGGATCTGGCCAGCAAGCTGGGTCTGAAGGGCCGTAAAGCCTACGTCAGCCCCCAGACAGAGTCAACCGCCACAGAAGGGGACAGTCTGGGAGAGACTTCCCCGCCCACTGGAGAAGTAGGTGCTACTCACTCCCTGAACCCTACATCTGTCATGCAGCGACTTAAACCCAACGTTTTCCCGCTCTTTAGATGTCCTCCAACGGGCTGGAGTCCCTGGGCGACATGGGACCAGGTATGACGCGCCCGCATGATCCGAGTCCCGCTCCCGACATTCCCGTTAAATGCTTTCCCCTTGTCTCCGGACTCTAGCGGACCTGTCTAACGCGCAGTGCATCCCTGCCCCTCTGGCCACGCCCATTCCGGTGAGCGACGACCCAACGACCACGGTGGTGACCTCGTGCACGGAGCTGTCGGAGAGCCCCTGCAGCCAGACGCTGCCGCCCATGCCGTACTCCGTCCCGGTGTCGGAGCACATGGACGAGTGCAGCAGCGTCATGAAGGACGGGCTGGACAGCATCTTGGACTGCATGCCAAAAAAAGTTAGTGAGGTGAGGACGCAAAGAAACCGAGTCATCATTGAATGCTGGTGACATCAGTTTTTCCCCCCCAGAAAACTCGCTAAGCCCAGTCAGTCATTCAGGTTTTTGAGTTAAGGAAAAAATACAATTAAAATAAACACAAATTCTTACACTTCAGTTGTTTCATTCTATTTAAAGTGTCCAAAATCTTGTAATCCTTTATTTGTGACTTGTCACTTCATTTGCTGAAGTTGTTGGCGTGTAGAGCGGTAAAGACAGGAAGTGGTTATGAATAATAAAGGACACCTGACCTCAGTCTCCCTATGTGGCCACATTATGGTCACAAACTGATTCAGTTATTGTGGAAGGACAATGAATTTCACAGAGAAGCAATTTAATCCACCTTTGCCATCACTGATACTGATGTATAAACAAAATAAGTATAATAAAAAAACACAGTGCTTATGATGCGTTCACACCAAAAGCATTATGAGCGTCAGGCTTACATTCACAGTCTATGTGGAGGCGCATCGAGGGCCATTGTGTTGCATTTCGAGCGTCTAGTGCTGCGAGATTTGAACCGTTTGGAGCGTTTTGAGCTTTTGAAGCGTTGAGCACATCCAACAGAAAACAGCTAGATCTGACTCGCCCTCCACGCGCCTCCACATAGATTTTGAATGTAAACCAGACGTGCAAAACGCTAGGTGTAGAGCAGTGTTTTATGCGTTTCCCTTCTGCCACACGCCTCTGTGGGTGAGTTAACAGGCTTCTGGAGCAGTTGACGGGTGCAGAAAAGGTAATGGAATGATTTGGACCAGCTGTTCTGAATAGAAGCTCATCTAAAACATCTAAAGCAGGCTGGACTGAGGACTGGAATTGAGAAGCACTTGTGTAGAGCAAAATGTCAAGTGTCTGCATTCAAAGTCCAACATGCATCAAACTTGACGCGTCAGACGCCTGTTTGATCCGCCTAACGCTTTTAGTGTGAATGCACCATCAGCCTGGTGGCCCGCCAGGCTTATAATACACCGGAGGAAACCCTTTTAATGCCACACTAAGTGAATGTTAAGATCATCAGCTCCCCTCTTTTTAGCTGAAGAGGTTATCAGTTTTGTTGCTTACGTACGTCTCCGTCCCCCAGAGTCCGGTTCAAGGTGCCATCCCCACCAACCTTCCCAACACGGCCGTCGGTCTTCGGCCTCCGTACTCGCCCAGCCTCCCGGCTCCGTCACCCCAGCTCCCTCCAGCCTTCTTCAGCTCCCCCATCAGTGACATGCCCCCCTTGGAGTCGTACCCACCAGTGCGGGACCAGGGCTCCACCCAAGCGCAGGACGCACTGGGAAGCTTTTCTACAGGAGCCGCAGATGGCGAAGGGAAAGGAGTCGCTGCCGGAGGGCTGGACTCGCTGTCTGAGTACACACTACCTGGTGAGCCATGCAGGTCTTTATGGGGCTGGGTGGTAAATCCATTTGATTCATTAATCAAATTCTTGGTTTTTCAAGATTTTATTTGAGCAAATTCTGTGGGTTTTTTTTATTTTCACACCAATGAACGCCTTGGTTCTCCATAGTTCAGAGAGATGTCAGTGTGCCCATTGCCGCCGTTTTGTTTTATGGCTTTTATTTATTTGGATTTTGAATTCAGGTCAACTCTGCGTCGGAATATTTTTATTTTTGTGTTAATTATGATGTTATTTTATGAGGTAAAGCATTTTGAACCTCCTTGTTACTGAAATGTGCTATACAAATAAAGTTGATTGATAATTATCAGAATAAAGACGTATCAATACTCAAATAAACTTGTTACATTTCCCAAAAAAAGACATAATATTACCTTTGTGTTTTTAGCACAGTAAATTGAACAGGCGTATGAATACCACAGCATGTTTTGAATTACAAATTTTTGATAATCACTGAGTCGGTAAGTGATGCATTTCATTAATATGAGACAAGGAGCAGGATTAAATAAGTGTTCGCTTCTTCCTTGTATGCTCATAATTTCTTGTCCTGCTGGTTACTTTTTTTTTGTTTTGTTTTGCTTTTATAAACTTGTTTGAAATAAATAAATAATTAAATAATGTGACAAAATGTGCAGAAGTTTAGGGGAGTGATGCTCCCGGTTGCTGTGGCGGATGAATTTGATTGGTCGCAGTGTTTTATGTTGGTGTGCTGCTGTCATCAGAGGTGAGTCAGCATCACTGCAATATACCGTCTGATATCAGTGTCCTTGTTTCTGTCTGCAGGGGGACGAGTGTGTCACAGCTTCATCCCTGGAATGCGCAACCACAGCGCTGGGCACACGGTGAGTAAAACGCTCATTTATGTTCCAGTTTTTCAAATCTTACTTTAGGGTTTTAGCTGTGATTATAGGTACGTCTAATTCTTCGGTCATCCGTTTCTCCTTCAGAATGGACCGGGAGGAACCAACCTCTCTCTTCTCTCCAGGAATCCTCTGGCTGCCACTCATGAGTTTCGCCAGGCTTGTCATGCCTGCTACAGCCGAATAGGTAGGATCCTTAAATATCACTGGTTTAAACTCAAGTTTGGATTCTTTATTCTCTGTTCATAACCAGACGTGGGCAGAGGACCCAGAAGTCGTATTCAAGTAAGAGTAGCACCACTTCAACATATTTTTACTTAAGCTAAAATAAAAAAAAAAAAAAAACGTCCAAAAAATATTACTCGAGAATAAAAAAGTATTTGGTTAAAAAGGTAACTAAAGTGTTGAGCAACTGATCAAAATATTGATCATTTAATATTTAAAAATGACCTCATCAGCTGGGCCAAAATGTAAAGTTATGTGGAATTTTTGGTATTTTATAGACCAAAATGTTTCGTTTAAATATCTTAATTACAAATTGACAACATCAGGCCAAAGAAACAGTTTTCTAAATCGGTTTCTTTCAATGTGAAACTTTAACAGAGACTGCAGGTGTGTGTCTGTGTCTGGTGGATTTTGGTTGAAACAAACTTGTTCTTCATTCACTGAAGTTACTCACAGTAGGAAGAGGATCCACAGATTTTACTCCAATTAAGAGTAGTGATACTTAATAATAAAATTACTCAAGTAAAAATACCGCTAAAAGTAAAAGTGTGCTAAGAAAATCAAGTCATATGACAATAAAAACGAAATGCTATGGGAGGGGATTCCTGTCATAAACTTGAACTGGAGGAGCTAAAACTCCGGTTAACAATTAATCAATCACTAAATTAGTCGATTATTTCAATAATTGATTAATCACGATGAATCTGATCAATCATTTCAGCTCTATTACAGTTGCGACAACTATTAATCTCCCTTAGGGCTCAATAAAGCCCTAAGGGAGATTTTTTGAGTTTAATTAAAACGATCAGATGTAGGTTAGAGGTAAAAACTTTGCCCTCGTTTACAGGTCCTCGAGTGATGGACTACAAGTACCAGCCGGAGGCAGCTCACCGCTGCAAGAGGGATGTGCTGCTGTGTCGCCTTAGAAACACAGACGACCCCACCTGGAAGAGGATCCGCCCCAGGCCCGCTCGCAATAACTTCCTGGGGGCGTTCGTTCTCTGCAAAGGTATCTAAATCTGCGTTTCAAATCGACTGTTGTATCGGCTTCGGCCCGTTGGGGGGGAATCTTCAACTTCTACCGCGTCCAACAGAGGTGCAGGAGCGCCAGGAGTGCCAGTACGGGGAGAACTGCACGTTCGCGTACTGCCAGGAAGAGATCGACGTGTGGACACAGGAGAGGAAGGGAGCGCTGAGCCGAGAGCTGCTGTTCGACCCCCTGGGCAGCACGGAGAGGCGCGCGCTCAGCGTCACCAGGCTGCTGCAGCTGCACATGGGCATGTTCATGTTCCTCTGTGAGGTGAGGAGTGGCGGGGCAGGGTGGGGAGGGCCCCCATTTTGACAAACACTGCTTTAATATATCAGTTTTTCTTTTTTTCTTGTACAGGAATGTTTCGACAGTAAGCCTCGGATCATCAGTAAACGCAGCAAAGAGAACTTAGCAGTCTGCTCAAACCTCACAGCACGGCACCCATTCGATGATAACAAGTGAGCGAACGTCTGCGCTTCGTATAAATCAACTTTTTCCTTGAAACTTATTCAAATAATCTGAAAAGATATGCAATTAAGATAACTCTTTGGAGCGTATTGCTCTGAATGACTGTGAATGGGACCCACAGGTGCCTGGTCCATGTGGTGAGGTCAGCTAACGTGCGCTACAGTAAGGTTCGGCCTCTGCACCCGCTCTGCCAGTTCGACATCTGTCGCCACGAGGTTCGCTACGGCTGCCAGCGCGAGGACAGCTGCTCCTTCGCTCACTCCGTCATCGAGCTCAAATGCTGGGTTCTGCAGCAGGACACTGGTACGCAGCACACAGGAAGACATCCATCCCTCCCTCCATCCATCAATCCATCCCTCCCTCCATCCATCAATCCATCCATCCATCCATCCCTTCTACCCTCCCTCCCTCTACTCCTTTCATCTTCCCTCCCTCCACACCTTCCTCTCTCTCATTCTGTCTTGCTCTCGCTTCATTCATCCAGCTCTTTCTTCCTCGCTTTCTTTTGTCTCTTGGTAGACAAAATAAAGCGAGTTTTCTTTCTTTATTCCTTTTTCTTTTCTGCTTCCTTTCTTTTCTTTCATTTTGTCTTTTTTCTTTCTCATCCTTTTCTCCTTTTTCTTTCTCTTTTGTTTCTTCCTCTTGTCTATTTTTCTTTCTTTTCCTTTTTGCTCTCTTTTTTGCCTTATTTCCTTTCTGTTTTTATTTCTTCCTCCTTTTTCTTTTTCTTTTACCTCTTCTTTTTTTACTATCTACTATCTAGTCCTTTTTTTCTTTTCCTTTCTCTTTCATCTTGTCCTTTTTCTTTCTCTGTCCTTTTTTCCCTTTTCCTGTCTTTTTTTTTTTTTTACTTTTTTTCTTCTTCTCTTTCTATTTGTCATGAACAGTGTGTATTAACTCTTTGTTCTAACATGCCATCCTGTTAAATAACGTTGTGTCTTTATTTCTTTTGCCATGTGTGGTGTTTGTCTCCAGGAATTACCCATGAAGAGATGGTGCAGGAGTCCAAACGACACTGGCAGAGGCTGGAGCAGAACTCCCAGAAGCAGCACAAGGTGTGGTTCAGTTTCAGATAGAGATGAGATTTAATCATGTTCCAACTCTAGTTAAGTGTGGGGAGGAGAAAAATAATTTGAAGACGGTAAAACGTTTGGGCTCGTTAAACTTGGACAAACTTCTAATAATGTAAAGTTTTAGTGTTGAGTGAATCAGGTCTGTAATATGTAAGGACTCTTGTCTGTAGTAAAAGTATGAAACCTCTTCGCCTCTTTCAGCCAATCCACATATCCCATCCGGGCAGCAGCCTACCAGCAGGGGGCATGGCGGGCCTTGGGGGTGGGGAAGGCGTGGTAGCGGGTGGAGTGGGTCCAGTAGGAGGTGTTGGGGTTGGTGGGCTGGTCGGAGGGGCGGGAAGGGGCCGCCCCCTCAACCTGAAAATGAAGTTCGTCTGTGGCCAGTGCTGGCGAGAAGGTCAGGTCAACGAGCCCGACAAGAACCTCAAGTACTGCACAGCCAAAGCCCGGCACAGGTAGGATCTGGAGTCCAGACCCGTCCGCTTCCTGACCCGCTTCGTCTTTTGACCTCGTCTTCCGCTCGTCTGCAGCTGGACGAAGGAACGCAGAGTCCTGCTGGTGAAATCCTTCGAGAAGAAGAAGTGGGTTGTCGTGCGACCTCTGCCCTTCTCGCGCTCGTACCCACAGCAATACGATGTGAGTCCTTCCACAGTTCATGAAAAAAAGCATTCGCACGATGGCAACAAGGCGATCTGTAAAACTGAACAAACAAAAGAAAGTGTTTAGTAAGTAATTGTAACCCTGTTGATGTGTGGAGCAGATGTGTGTGCATGTGATGAAGCAGAAGAAGTGCCACTACATCGGGAACTGCTCCTTCGCACACAGCCTGGAGGAGAGGGACGTGTGGACGTACATGAAGAACAACAACTGTGAGTTCCCACTTCCTCTGTACACTCTGATAAAGAAAGGTCACCTATGAAGAATGATAGAGTATTAAAGCCGTGAGGTAAAGAAAAAAGAAAAATACCATGGTCACAGAGGAGTAAATTTCTGCCAAAAAACTGAAAATTTTAAAGGATAATGTTACATTCTTAAGACAAAATTTACCGTTTTTCATTATTAAAGCCATAGATTTACGATATAAAATCTATGGCTATTGGTATTTGAAAAAATAAAAGTTTTCAGAGATTAAAAAGGCAGATGACAAAACCATGATAGAAATTGTTTAGGATTGAAGTGGTAAATTTATGGAATGCACATCTGGTGCATCGAATCATTCTGAATCTGGAAAACACAAACTCAGTCCTAACATCAGTGCAGTGTAGGGCTGATCTCCCTTTATCCAATGATCTCACCTTTACTTCACATCTGTTTCTTTACTATCAGAGTTGTCATTTTTTACCTTAAGGTTACTCTTCAGGTTCTTTAAAATAAGGATGAGCTTAAACCTTTTTGTTTTTGAAGTTATTGCTTTTATTCATCTTCCTTTGTTTTGTTTTTTTCCAGTGAGAGACATGCAACAGATGTATGAACTGTGGCTGCAGCTCACCAATCAGAACAGACGGACAGAGAACTCCGCTGTAACTCCGCCCCCCGACGACAAGCAGGTCACCATAACAGCAGATTACACAGAAAACCTGGTAAGTAGGTAAAGACCCCCACAACAAGAAATGCTGCTAGCAGCTTTTTTTTTTTTTTTTTTTTTAGTATCTTTTTATACTTCTTATTTTAAGAATAACAACCGATGCTAATTGGTGCCTGTCATGACAATTCATTAGAGAGCAATGTATTGCTCTCATATGCATCCTACTGGTAGTGTCAACATGCTAGACACTTTACATCCTAGTGAATAGCCCTTGAGCTAATGTTAGCCGTACAGCTAAAATAAGGCTTTTGCTTATTTTTAAGATATTAGCTACGTTTAGCATACTCAGTGGACTAAGTTAATATAAGTCCATGTACTAGTGACAACATTTAAGCTAACCTTAGCATTTCAGCAAATTTTAGCTTGTACAATATTCCTTGTATACTGAATGGAGTAAGTCCATGTTAGTCAACATGTTAGTGATTTCCCACGTGCTAGTTACTATGTTTTAGCTAACCTTAGCATTGATGCTAATTTTCGGCATCAGAATGCCTGACACTTTAGCAGGTCCCTTTTAAATTTCTTCAGAAATTTATTTCATTTTTTCTTCTTTTAATTACAGAACCAACATTACATTTCTCTTTTAACGTTTTAGAATAAAGTAAAAAAAAATAAAATAAAATGGAATTTTATCCAGCAAAACCACCAAACCATACTGCTGTTCACATGATGTACTTTGTTACATTAATTTATATTGCTTTCAATGTTTTGTTTTATCTACCTACTTTTTTTACTAATTTTGTTGTCAAGAGAAATTAACAAACTTGTTTCCTCTTTATATAAGAGAATAAATGGATTTTATTGGTTTAATTTTTGGTTTATCAGAGATTATTTTTTTCTTTTTGCATCCCTGTAGGGAGGCCAGCATCTGTCAGACGGCGATGACCTCTGATGGTCGCTCGTTTTGGAAACGCATCTGATCATCGCTGAGACGCAGACGAAAACGGCGGCGAGCCGACCACGACCAGGCGCGGCCGAACCGCCCGCCACCCTGCCAGTCGGACCACCTGCAAGACGGCAGCCGGGCGGAGCGCACTCGACGTTCGAACCCCATGACCACATATTCACGCACTCAGACATTTACATGCAACACACAAACCCACAGGCACCAGTTATCACGAAGAGAAGGCTTCTGAAGCGAGACCTAAAAGTCGGGCTTTAATGTTTGTTTTGTTTGTTTTTTTGTCTTTCTGCAGGAATTCCCCAGCCTAGTTTTCATCTAACACAGTCTACTTCCCTAATCTTTAGAGTTTTGTCCCCCTGGCAACTCTTTTCTTCTTCATAGCACTGAAACGATTCACATTCGGCTGCGCTGGTCGCAGTCCGTCAGTCTGCTTTGTTTTTAACGCTGAACCTCCCAGTGCTTCCTAATGCGAGCTGAAACTGCAAACCACTGGCAAAAAGAGATATCATGTGGACACGCCTCTCTAAACTTCAACGACCAAATCCTGCTCTCTTTCTTCTACAGGAATCTAAACGGAGAGATCAAACTAAATTAAGATTTTTTAATTTTTTTTATTTTTCTTTCCCAAGGGGAGTTGCGCTTCCTTGTTAATATCTGCCATATTGGTGGAAAAGTCTGAATGTAACGCCTGCACAGGCCTTCAAAAAACAAGGAAGCGAGTCGTTTAGGATGTCAATGTTGTAGAATGTATGTGCGCACACGCCCAGAACATTTCAGTTTCACACCGGCTGCTCCTTGCGTCGGATCACACAGACATTCACGTTCCCCTCAGATAGTACAAGAGATTAAAATGAATTTTTGGCAACGAAACGTAAAGAAGAAGAAATTTCGTTCCTATAAACTGACTGAAGTTGGTGTAGGAGGAACACAGAAAACATTATCCAGTTTTAAGCACATTAAGCATCCAGTCGCTGACCTGTTTTTCCAAATAAAGATAGCAGAAATGTTTTCTGCTATCTTTAAGTGTTCAGTTGGAAGCTCCTGCAGCCTTCAGTTTGGAAACCCAATGTTTGTCGTCTGATCCCCATAAGCCCCAAATATACTGCTCAAAAAAATAAAGGGAACATTTCACTTTAATTTTGTGTGTGGCTCCAAATCCAGGCCTCCATTGGTTAATAAATTTGATTTCCATTGATGATTTTTGTGTGATTTTGTTGTCAGCACATTCAACTTTGTACAGAACAAAGTATTCAATGAGAATATTTCATTCATTCAGATCTGGGATGTGTTATTTGAGTGTTCCCTTTATTTTTTGAGCAGTGTATTTTCTCCCCATTCGGTCAGAGAGGGCCTGAGACATGGAGAGGATTCATGCTGCATACCGTGCCTAAAAACACGTGACACAAACACACACACTCTCTCACACACACACACACGAAAACAGGCAGGAAACATGTTGCCATCTTATTCTAATGTAGACATGATGAGAGTATGTCTTTATTCAGCTACACGCATATTATACATACATATAATATACATACTACTAATAATAAATGATAACTTAGCAGTTAAGCTTAATAAATATGTAACCTGGAAAACCTGTATTGATTACATAGATAAACTTCTTGTTATTGAGGTTTTGCTGTATGACTTGTATCGCCGAAATAGATGACTACAGTGTTTTTTTTGTTCTTTTATTTTGAAAAAAAATTTTTTTCCTTAACTGTGGGTTGTTCCAGACGGGGTTAGTTAATTGAAAATAAAGGTGAAGATGGTCTACACTGAGAATAGAGGGCCAGAGACGGGGCCACCTTATTAATATATAAATACGGCAAAAGCACCATTGATAATTGAAGACATTTTCATCTAATTGTCAACTGAAACTCGGTGGAGCTTTATTTCACGGGTTTAAGGAAGACGATGCATGAAAACCGTAGAGTGGAATATGATTATGTAAAAAAAAAAAAAAAAAAAGCGACGGCCTCACAGCTGCAGATAATGTGACTCGTCTGCGTTCCTAATCCTGCCTTCGTCCGGAACAGCCCAGGTATTAGCTTCCTTGAGGGGATCGTATTACTATCACTCCTAGTATTATGATGAATATGATGACTATAATTATTGCTATTCCTATTTCTCTTCTATATGCTATTGATATATGTATGTTAATTGCAATGTATACCTTTCTCTTTATATATGTATCTATGTACGAATATAATAATTGACAGTAACTACGCCTCTGCGCTCCGCTGCGGACAGCTCTGTCTCTACAGTTTGATCAGTCAAGGATAGATCTGGACACAAAGGTGTGCAAAGAGGCTTGTATACTCCCATATAGCGCCTTATTCGTTATACTACACCTATAAGATACATACATACCCCTATTGTATAATCCTACTTACTATATACAGTATATGATACCTGATAACCTATGATAATACTTAGACATCCTTTATAAGATGTTTTAGATAAGAAACGGTGGCCTATCTTTTTTTTCTTTCTTTTTTTTTCCTGTGGCTGTGAAAAGTGCTGTGATCAGAAAATCGGTTTTATCTTTCGAAGATAAAAAGCTCCGAGCCGCACTCTTAACGCTCTTTATCTTTAACTTCAGCTCGACACACGTCCGTTTCAACATGAGTCCCAACCAGAGCGGTGAGCAGGAACATGTCAGTCATTTTGAAAATCCCAGCGGTTTAAATAAAATGTAAAGCATGACGGTTACAGGATTTTTTATTTAATTTTTTTTGACGTATGTATGACTTCAAGCCTCTTTTTAAAAGCTAAAACATAAATAATAATGATAATAAAGAAAAAGCATTAAAGGTGAGTGTTCTCTTTAGTGTTGGCAAAAGCCCAGAAATGATTATGTAAGCCATGACAGACGTCAGTTCTGCTCCCTATGTCTCATCTAGAAGGGATGTGAATCATGACAAAAACTTTTTGAGGATGAGTGTTGTTAGGTTTCCACGTAATTCTAAGTACCGCTGACATACTACTTCTCACCTTTTATAAACATTTTTTTTACACATTTGTTGAAACCATCACTATGTTGTGACAGTATAGTGTGAGATGGTTAATCTGTGAAAAAAAAATCTAGCTCCTGTGCCTTCTCTCAGTGCAAACTAGAAACAACCAATCAGAGCCAAGAGGTGGGTCTTTGTGCTGTTAATCTTGCCCTTGTTTGCGCTGTAGAGCTTTTCCCCGTGAATGCTAAGACTAGTTAGCATGGCCACCAATGATGGTGCACATTTTTCCTGGAACAGAGTCGGCATTAACACATTTCACAGCGAGTTCACAGGGATGATTGACAGCGCTAAGCCCCTCCCCCTGTCTCCGATTGGTTGTTTTTGGTGCATTTCTTCAGACTGCAAAAGTAGCTCAGAGAGTAGGTGGAGGAGCTCAACATTTTCACAAATTTTCTGTCTCATATACTGTCACGACATGGTGACAGTTTTAACAAATATGTAACAAAAAACATTCTTTATAAAAGTTATACTGCATCTTTAAGCTAAAATATTCTCTTTGGGCTAAATTTTCCCTAAATAATTTGAAGGTCTGTTTTAACAAAAAGAGTTTACATTCTGATGCTCTTGAACTTCAGGACACGGCACGTTGCAGCGAAATGACACAGTCCTCAGCTAACAAACAGTCTTCTCTGGAAACATTCATGTGACTCATGATGGCCTGCTTTCCCTCCTTTGGTTGAATGCAGCTACTGAAGAAGTTCACCATTAGCTGGTCATCAGCATATTGAAGTTGTTTTCTGGAATTTCACTGAAGACAACAGGGATGTAGGAAGTGGAAGGAAGGCCTGTTTTTGTATTGGTTTTATTTTCACGTTTTATTTTTAAAGTTTTATGTGTTTGGTTACTTCCTCAAATCTTCCTTTCCTCCTCCCTTGTTGGAAGTTCATGATCACACAAGTGGACCAAAATCTTTTGAAAGCGTTCAATAAAATGTTTTAGCAAAAAAATGTAAAGACTGTGCTTTTTCTTTTTGTGCAAAACTATTAACTTCATTTATTCACTTTGGAATTACAATATTTGTGTCTAATTCAGATTTTGTGGTGGTGTAAAGTGAGTTATACCGTTTTGAACTTATTTTGTATACACTTTTGGAGTCTGGTGCTCTTGACAGTCTTCCTGAGCTGTGGTTCTCTGCAGCTCATCCAGAGATACCTGGGGGGCTTCTTGGCTGCATCTTGTCCAGTTTGTTGTACATTGTTTAAATTATGGTAATGGTTCCTGAGACATAAATCCTTGGATAATGTTATCCAACTCCACTGACCTACAATTTTATCCTGACTTGTCTGGTGTGTTTGCTAATTCATGATGTTTGTTCACTAACGTTATCTGACAAACCTCTGAAGCATACACAGAACATCTATATGCTGAGAGTACTTCACTTACATGTACACGACTTTGGAAAACCTATGGTGGCCCATAAGGGCTAATAAAATGTAAAAGCCTCAATACCATAAACTTACTAGCATAACTAGGACTTCAGCATAAGTTCCGAATTTTGTATAAAGTCTGTTTTAACATAATTCCATTATATATATTAGAAACTAGCATAATTTCTGATGTATATATATATATACTGCTCAAAAAAATAAAGGGAACATTTCACTTTAATTTTGTGTGTGGCTCCAAATCCAGGCCTCCATTGGTTAATAAATTTGATTTCCATTGATGATTTTTGTGTGATTTTGTTGTCAGCACATTCAACTTTGTACAGAACAAAGTATTCAATGAGAATATTTCATTCATTCAGATCTAGGATGTGTTATTTGAGTGTTCCCTTTATTTTTTTGATATATATATATATATATATATATATAGAGAGAGAGAGAGAGAGAGAGAGAGAGAGAGATATTATGTTTTGGTCCTCCATATGTTTCTAGTTCTAGATATTATGATATCTATCTGTCTTTCCATCGACACATATACATATAATACACAAATATATACACGCACGCACACACATATATATAGAGAGAGAGACATCATCTCCCGCTGCTCCTCCAGAATCTGCCGCTGCTCCTCTGCCTCCCTGTCCTCTGTCCAAGGCTCCGCTTCCCAGTGTTAACCCCAGTGCTCCCCCTGGGGTTAGCAGCAGACTGGGCCTTTTGGGCCCAGTCTCTTGCTGGGGGACTGGGCCCCCTGCACCGGCTTTGCCCGCCGGACCCACCTCCATGGGTCCACCTCTGCCTACTGGATCATTTCAGTGGAGATTTCAGACTGTGGCAGGAAGCCGGAGTGCCCGGAGAGAAACCTGCAAACAGGAAACCTGTTAAATCTTTTTACCTTCTGTTCTCTGGTGTCTGATCATCTCTTCTCATAAATGTAAATCAGACCATTGTTGGACATGTCTTCACTGCAGTCGCTGTCTGCAGTGAAGACATGCTCGTTGTCTGCCTTTACGGTTTGTCCTCCCTTCATTAAGTAACAATAGAAGTCTGTCAGCTTTGGATCCCCACAGATGATGGAGGAC